AGAAAACGCGTTTAAAGTTTTCCAAAAGTTTTTTTTAAATATCTCCAAAAATATTTTTGGTACAGCCTATTATAATATATTGGCGGAATCTGTGCACTCCCAGTGATCACAAAAAGCAGTTAAAATCGCTCTACCTCTTCTAGTTTAGCCAGAAAACGCGTTTAAAGTTTTCCAAAAGTTTTTTTAAATATCTCCAAAAATATTTTTGCTACAGCCTATTATCATATATTGGCAGAATCTGTGCACTCCCAGTGATCACAAAAAACAGTTAAAATCGCTCTATCTCTTCTAGTTTAGCCAGAAAACGCATTTAAAGTTTTTCAAAAGTTTTTTTTAAATATCTCCAAAAATATTTTTGCTACAGCCTATTATCATATATTGGCAGAATCTGTGCACTCCCAGTGATCACAAAAAACAGTTAAAATCGCTCTATCTCGTCTAGTTTAGCCCGAAAACGCGTTTAAAGTTTTCCAAAAGTTTTTTTTAAATATCTCCAAAAATATTTTTGCTACAGCGTATTATAATATATTGGCAGAATCTGTGCACTCCCAGTGATCACAAAAAGCAGTTAAAATCGTTCTATCTCTTCTAGTTTAGCCAGAAAACGAGTTTAAAATTTTCCAAAAGTTTTTTTTAAATATCTCCAAAAATATTTTTGCTACAGCCTATTATTATATATTGGCAGAATCTGTGCACTCCCAGTGATCACAAAAAACAGTTAAAATCGCTCTATCTCTTCTAGTTTAGCCAGAAAACGCGTTTAAAGTTTTCCAAAAGTTTTTTTTAAATATCTCCAAAAATATTTTTGCTACAGCCTATTATAATATATTGGCAGAATCTGTGCACTCCCAGTGATCACAAAAAACAGTTAAAATCGCTCTATCTCTTCTAGTTTAGCCAGAAAACGCGTTTAAAGTTTTCCAAAAGTTTTTTTTAAATATCTCCAAAAATATTTTTGCTACAGCCTATTATAATATATTGGCAGAATCTGTGCACTCCCAGTGATCACAAAAAACAGTTTAAACCGCTCTATCTCTTCTAGTTTAGCCAGAAAAAGCGTTTAAAGTTTTCCACAAGTTTTTTTTAAATATCTCCAAAAATATTTTTGCTACAGCCTATTATCATATATTGGCAGAATCTGTGCACTCCCAGTGATCACAAAAAACAGTTAAAATCGCTCTATCTCTTCTAGTTTAGCCAGAAAACGCGTTTAAAGTTTTCCAAAAGTTTTTTTTAAATATCTCCAAAAATATTTTTGCTACAGCCTATTATAATATATTGGCAGAATCTGTGCACTCCCAGTGATCACAAAAAGCAGTTAAAATCGCTCTATCTCTTCTAGTTTAGCCAGAAAACGCGTTTAAAGTTTTCCAAAAGTTTTTTTTAAATATCTCCAAAAATATTTTTGCTACAGCCTATTATAATATATTGGCAGAATCTGTGCACTCCCAGTGATCACAAAAAGCAGTTAAAATCGCTCTATCTCTTCTAGTTTAGCCAGAAAACGCGTTTAAAGTTTTCCAAAAGTTTTTTTTAAATATCTCCAAAAATATTTTTGCTACAGCCTATTATCATATATTGGCAGAATCTGTGCACTCCCAGTGATCACAAAAAACAGTTAAAATCGCTCTATCTCTTCTAGTTTAGCCAGAAAACGCGTTTAAAGTTTTTTTTAAATATCTCCAAAAATATTTTTGCTACAGTCTATTATCATATATTGGCAGAATCTGTGCAGTCCCAGTGATCACAAAAAACAGTTAAAATCGCTCTATCTCTTCTAGTTTAGCCAGAAAACGCGTTTAAAGTTTTCCAAAAGTTTTTTTAAATATCTCCAAAAATATTTTTGCTACAGCCTATTATCATATATTGGCAGAATCTGTGCACTCCCAGTGATCACAAAAAACAGTTAAAATCGCTCTATCTCTTCTAGTTTAGCCAGAAAACGCGTTTAAAGTTTTATAAAAGTTTTTTTTAAATATCTCCAAAAATATTTTTGCTACAGCCAATTATCATATATTGGCAGAATCTGTGCACTCCCAGTGATCACAAAAAACAGTTAAAATCGCTCTATCTCTTCTAGTTTAGCCAGAAAACGCGTTTAAAGTTTTCCAAAAGTTTTTTTTAAAAATATCCAAAAATATTTTTGCTACAGCCTATTATAATATATTGGCAGAATCTGTGCACTCCCAGTGATCACAAAAAACAGTTAAAATCGCTCTAACTCTTCTAGTTTAGCCAGAAAACGCGTTTAAATTTTTCCAAAAAATTTTTTTTAAATATATCCAAAAATATTTTTGCTACAGCCTATTATCATATATTGGCAGAATCTGTGCACTCCCAGTGATCACAAAAAACAGTTAAAATCGCTCTATCTCTTCTAGTTTAGCCAGAAAACGCGTTTAAAGTTTTCCAAAAGTTTTTTTTAAATATCTCCAAAAATATTTTTGCTACAGCCTATTATAATATATTGGCAGAATCTGTGCACTCCCAGTGATCACAAAAAGCAGTTAAAATCGCTCTATCTCTTCTAGTTTAGCCAGAAAACGCGTTTAAAGTTTTCCAAAAGTTTTTTTTAAATATCTCCAAAAATATTTTTGCTACAGCCTATTATCATATATTGGCAGAATCTGTGCACTCCCAGTGATCACAAAAAACAGTTAAAATCGCTCTATCTCTTCTAGTTTAGCCAGAAAACGCGTTTAAAGTTTTCCACAAGTTTTTTTTAAATATCTCCAAAAATATTTTTGCTACAGCCTATTATAATATATTGGCAGAATCTGTGCACTCCCAGTGATCACAAAAAACAGTTAAAATCGCTCTATCTCTTCTAGTTTAGCCAGAAAACGCGTTTAAAGTTTTCCACAAGTTTTTTTTAAATATCTCCAAAAATATTTTTGCTACAGCCTATTATCATATATTGGCAGAATCTGTGCACTCCCAGTGATCACAAAAAACAGTTAAAATCGCTCTATCTCTTCTAGTTTAGCCAGAAAACGCGTTTAAAGTTTTTCAAAAGTTTTTTTTAAATATCTCCAAAAATATGTTTGCTACAGCCTATTATAATATATTGGCAGAATCTGTGCACTCCCAGTGATCACAAAAAGCAGTTAAAATCGCTCTACCTCTTCTAGTTTAGCCAGGAAACGCGTTTAAAGTTTTCCAAAAGTTTTTTTTAAATATCTCCAAAAATATTTTTGCTACAGTCTATTATCATATATTGGCAGAATCTGTGCAGTCCCAGTGATCACAAAAAACAGTTAAAATCGCTCTATTTCTTCTAGTTTAGCCAGAAAACGCATTTAAAGTTTTCCAAAAGTTTTTTTTAAATATCTCCAAAAATATTTTTGCTACAGCCCATTATCATATATTGGCAGAATCTGTGCACTCCCAGAGATCAAAAAAACAGTTAAAATCGCTCTATCTCTTCTAGTTTACCCAGAAAGCGTGTTTAAAATTTCAAAAGATTTCTTTAAATATTTTAATAGTTAATACTCGTATCTAATACTCATTGTTTAAAAAACTGGTATGCAGGTAATTTGATTATATAATACATAATAAATTTTGGCTCAATAACAATGAAAAAGGGAAAATTGTTAAGGGAAAGTTAAAATAATTTTAAGCTGACACAATAATATAGCAGTTCAATAAACATAGTTTAGGCTATATACTTGGTTGATGTAATCGTAAATTACGAGGTGACTATAATATTTATAATAGCGTTGCAATATGCCATTAATATCAAATTTTTCCTTTGATAATCTTAATAAAAAAGAATGAATACGCTTTGTTATAAACAGAATTTAATTTATTTACTTTAATTCTTTCCTTGAAGAAATATTAGCATATTAAATTATATAATATTAAATTGTCTTAAATAAGACAAATTAACTGAAAAAATACCAAAATTTTAAATTATTACTAAATTAAACCTGAATATCGTATATTTTTTTTCTACATCATTATTAAAACTTAAATTTTTAGAGCTAGATCATAATATATTTGGCTTTAGCTGACGAACTCCTATATAAAGTTTTATTTTAAATATATATAATAATAAATATTATAATATTCAAATAATTAACAAAATCTCATCACCTAAGTATCACAATAATGTTCTTATATAAATTATTCTAGATTATATAAACGTAAATTATTTTGAAAAATTTAGCTTAAGAATTTTTTATATTACACAGTCCAGAAATTTGTTATTCCAATTATAAAGCTATTATTAATTGAGCTGTGTAATATTACAGTAAGAAAAATCATAATTATATTAGAAGCGAACAAATCATATGATAGACCATTTGTTTCTAGACGGGCAATATATTTTAAATTTTAAATTATCCTTCAATTCTCATTAAACAGTATGTGAAATTATTTAATAAAATCGTATATGACTGCCACTAACAACAAATTTAAGTTAATAAATTAAATAAATCAAAATTTGAAAATTTTACAAAACAGACTATAATAGAGAAAGTTTAACATTGTACATAAAGAAAAATTATAAATGTCTTAAAATTAAATAAAAATTTTATATAAAACGAAATATTATAACATTGAAAATTTCTCAAAATTTATTTGAGTTTAAAATAATAATATCGAATATCAGTGTTATTAAATAACTTCAAAATCAATAAAATTTTATTGATTTGATGCTCAGAATAAGTCCCAATATGTCTTTTTTAATTAAATTTAATAGATTCAGAATTAAATTAAATTAATTTTTAATTAATTATACAATTAAATCTTAATTAAATTAATTTTAATAAAATTTACATTTTCTACGATCTAAATAATTATTATAAATTCTATTTAAATTTCTTAATATCCATAAAAATATAAAAATAGTACAGACTAGAATAATTAAAAATATTAAAAATATTATTAAAAAAATTGGTTCTATTATAAAATTTTTATAAAATGATCTTTTTCGGAAAAATGATTTTTTTAAACCGAAAATTTTTCTTTGTTCAATTATTTCTTTTATTGTCATTTGTATAAATTTCTTTGTTGAAATTATTTTATCATTAATTTGCAATGATTTATTTTGTACATTTATCATATAAAATTTTGAATTAATATCTAATATATATTCAATTGTTTTATTCATTTCATAAATTGTAAAATTTTCATAATATAAAATTTCACCAATTCTCCAATTATTTATAATATTATTACATAAAATTTTTTCATCATTTGTATATGGTAATCCTAAAATTGGTATCTCAAAATAAATACTTTCAATTAAACTTAAATGACCACAATTTGTTAAAAATAATTTAATATTTGAATGTTCCATTATTGTTGTTTGTGGTAACCAATCAGATATATAAAATTTTGTTATTGGTTGCAATAATTGTGATTTTAATAAATTTTTTTTTAAATTTTCTCCTCCATTACATGACCATATAATTTTTTCTTTTCTTCTTTTAAGTACCATTATAATTTTATTAATTTGATTTTCGGAAATATTTCGCATAAAATCATTACCAAATGATACATAAATAATACCATTATTTGATGAATGTATGAAATTTTCAAGTGTTTCCGGAAATTTATTTATATAGGATTTTTGTAGATAAGATTGCCTTCTATCATTAATATGGAAACCAGTCACGTCTTCGTTATCAGTTATAGTTATGAATGGATTTTGTATTGATATCGATGTTATAAATATTTTTGATAAATGTTGTTCCAATAATTTCGAAAAACTTAAATTTTTTTGATGAAAATTAAATTGATTAAATAGTTTTTCCTAAAAAAAAATATTAAAATATATTAATAATAAGTAATTAATTTTCGAAATAATTAATGCATACATACATGTTTTTTGAAATAAATATAATTAACATAAAATTTTTCCATCATCAAATCAAAAGCATTACTAATGTTATCAAACCAATTCTCATTATCACTATTAGTAGAAGATAACATATATAATGGATCAATTAAGCCTCTTGGTTCACCTTTTGATAATATGAAAACTGGACAATTATAAATAGCACCCAAACCTATAAAATTAAAAAAAAGAGAAAAAAAATATTAATTTGACCCATTTAAATTATATGTACACAAAATTTCTTTGTTTAAATTACAAACAAAGCGCAATATATGCACAATACCGAAATCCAATATTTTTATTATTATTTAATGTAAATTGAATATTTCATATTGACCTATCAAAGCTTCATTGTAGTCATAGTCCAATATGATAAGATTTATAAATAAGGGTGGACGACGTATCATAATAAGTTCAGTGAAATTTTTATGTTGTACAACTGTTGCAGTACGTTCTAAACCTTTTTTATATTTATTGTATAAATTAAAATATTTTATTTCTTTGTTATTCATTAAATCATTTTGATTAGAGTTTGGAAATTGTTGTTGCGGTGTCTTATCTAAAAAAAAAAACAAGAAAAAAAAAAAATCAATTGTATGTACAATAAGTACAAAGAAGAACAGAAAAAGCAAAAAAATAATGCGAAAGCGTGTAAAATTATGAAATTTTTAATCAAAAATTATTGAAGCATTTAATTGTTTGAATTAATTAAAAAAAGATAATAAAAATGTATATGTATGTACCTTTGGCATTCTCCTCTAATAAATCTTCCAAACTAATATGATTAATTCTACGAGTCTGAGAAAATGGGCTTATTACTGTCACCTATAGAAATAAAAGAAAAATTTCAATTATTATTGATAATATTATATTCGAGTTATATGCAGGATCATCATCAATCGGACTAAGATATTTGCTATAATAATAATTGCTAAGATGTTTGCTATAAAATTTTGGAAATATAAAATATTAATGAGCCAAAGGTGGATACTAAAATTAATGAGGAAATCTGAATAATAACAGACGAGAAGCCTATCGACAAGCAGACTCGACAAAGAAAGCAGAAAATGATCGGCTATATTGAAGATCGGATAGTTGATCGAAGAAAACTGGTCAACAACATAGCCAGAATGAGTTTTCAGTTGAATTAATTAATTTCAAGGAGACCCGAACGCCCCAGAGATATTGTGCATAGATTCGTAAGGTTGAAACTAAACACCTCTTACTTATCGTTGGATCATTTCAAGAATACAACAAGGTAGAGATGTCATGTGGAAACTCTATGCTATCAATTGCAGTTAGGGGAAAAATTGAATCAAAGATAATAACTTTGATAAGTGAAATAAAATAAGCAAATGTGTGCTACATCCCCTTAAAAAAATATTATTCAATTTATATCATTGAATATCATTTTATTGCATACTTTTAGGAATAAAATAATAACTGCAAGATGTATGTATATAACATTATAAATTTTCGTATAACATGTTAACATTTGCCTTTAATATCTTAATAATATAACACTTATTGCCTTTAATTGAATTTATTTACAATTTTGAAGTGATAGCTTGGAAGTGGATGAAGATAAAATTTTGTTTTTCATTATAATTACTCACTTTCGTTAATGACTTTAAGTTAAATTTATGTTTAAACACAAAACAATGCTATACATATTTATGACACGCCTCCTACCTTTTGATATGAAATTTCTAGTTCTAATTTAAGCATGAAATTTCCTGTACAACATTTAATGAATTTCAAAGAAAATCTCGTAATTTCTAACAGATTTATCATATACCACGAATACCAATTTTAATATTTATTAAAAATATTTAATAAAAACGATAAATAGGAAATAATATCTCTATCTGTGTATACAGAGTGTCTCATAACAAAGTGCACTGTTATTCACCATACTTTAGGCCTTCATGAGTAGACAAAACTTTTGTATGCAGACGATGTTCGCAGCCCAACAGCTTCGGAGTTATGTGAGCTTAAAATCAATTTCAACTGATTTTTTACTTTTTTGAAATTTTAAGTATAACTCCGCGGTTATGTAAAATTTTTAACAAACGTTAATTTTGTAAGTGACGTAACATTGAAGGTTTCTCCAATTTTAGCACAGTTTGTCTTAGTTACGAGACAGCCTGTATATAATAATTTCATCAAAATGAAATGTACATATTGTGGTTATGAATTTTTGTATGCAGTATAAAACTTTTCCAGTTTTAATTTCCGTTATATATTTATACTATTCAAAGTATACATGAAATTGCTGCCGCATAATATGCTAATCATTCGAAATTCTTTCAATCTTTTTCAAAAAATATATAGCTAATAGGAAATTATTTTTAAAAATTAAAATAAACACAAAAGGTATAAAACTGGTATATATGTATAACAAAGTTTATTGAGCTCATAAAATTTCTTAAACATGTGCAATTCTTTAAAATGAACAAAATATACAAAGGTTTCAATTTAAAAACAAAAAGAAATACAAAAAAAACAACAGTTGCGAATTCTTGTTCATTGTTCATCAAATCATAAAAATTTTGTTAATATTATGATATACAATATAATTAAATATAAATATATTATATAATATAATATATTATAAGTAATATATTATATTACTTATAATATATTCTGTATACTTATACGTATATAGGAATATATTATAAGTATAGATTTGTGCAATATTATTCATTTACATATTGATACGAGTAAAAGAATAATAAAAGAAATTATAATTGATTTTGAACTTAATTAAATAACGATAATTAATATCAAAAATACTTGTATGAATAATATACATACGTTATTGTTATAATAGAGAAATTCCTCTTGATATAATAAATATAATAATTATATAATAATCTATTATTATAAATATAATAATATAATAATAACTTGTTTCATAAGGGAATGCAGCTATTCAACTCGTTACCAAATGTAATACGTGCTGAACAATATTAACACTTTTAAAAATATATTGATAAAGTATTTAATACATAACGAATTTTAATGGAGTCCATTCTTAAATTTTTCATTTTAAAATTTTCATTTTTAAATAATTTTTTTTTCTCTTTTATCTTAAGCTTTTTATTTTATCATAACTGGCATAAAATATTCTCCAAGGAAATTTTGTATTCATGTAATATGGAATTGTAATATTAATAGTATTTAATACTAATAAATAAATTAAAAAAAAAAAAATATAATAATAATTGTAATTTTTTATTTTCCCAGCAACACAATTACCTACCTCAGATAAGTTCTAACTTTATACATACGTGCAAAATATAGATACGTTCACATATTAAAACTGATTTAATTAAATATATAATAAAATAAAATAGTTCTTTACCTTTGTACATACATACATATGTATATAATTTATAAGTAAAGCTCGTTCTACAATAATAATTGTATAAAACTTTTGAAATTTTTTAATGTCAATTAAAGTCAAATTGTGAATTTCAATTATTGACAATAGAGCTATTACTACATACATACGAGTATGTAAATATGTTAGAATCTAATTTTACTTTATTTTCTATAATAAATTCGTTATATATATTATAATTGTACATAATATATGTAGAAATTTTATAATCATATGGTATAGGTTGTTTGAATAAGAACATATGTATGTGTACAAAATTTAAATATCAACAATATAGTTCCAAAATTTTTCTTATTTTAAATTAAAGCTTATTTGATTATCAATATAATTATAAAACAACAGTACTCAAAATAAAAAATTCTAATTTTGAAAAAATAATTTGACCTACATATATTTTTTTATCAAATCCACTGAGACAATAATTTAGAAAAAATTTTGCCTCAATTTAATATTATAGTAAATGATAATATTTTAATTAGTCAGAATTAATCTTAAGCATAATTATACTGAGACCGTATAACAGAATTTTATTTATAAAATCAAATACATTGTATTTTAAAGATCTACAAAATAGTTATAATTCTGATTACAATTAAAACATATTGTAGTACAAAAACATTACGAAATATTAAATGTGAAACATTTGAAATTCTAAAAATAAATCATATTTATTTTTAATTAATTCAATTATTTATTTGGTCATGTTAGAAGAGAATGATTAAAAACTTGTATATTTGCAATATAATATATATATAACACATTCACAATAATAATAACTATTCTATACAATCATTGACATTAAAATTATAAATCCCTATTAAGTGAATATAGTATAGACCTAAATTCCAAATATTTTTTCATTCATCTTATTATTTACTATTTTTGTAATATACTATATAATAAACTGTTATATACATAAATATAACATACAATAACGTAAATAATTTACAATAAAATCAACAATGAAAAATTCATTATAACATAGTAGTTTTAGAATTTGTTATTGTTATAATTTTGTATACACTTGTGTATATTTTATACACTTTTTATACACTTTGTTTATATTCTTAAAAAAGTGTTTGAAAACATCATTTTATATACAAACATATGTTTAATATTTGCAAAAATAATTATACTACAAATTATTGTTTTGATGATGTACATATTTAAAATTCTATAATAAAATTAAACTTACAGAATTTCCAGTTGCTGCCAAATAATCAAATAATGCTAAAGCATGTATATGATTTGATATTGATGTTGATGTTACAATACCCAAAATATTCATATTTTCAGCTCGACATAAATATTCATTACTATTATTATTATAAATTATTAATATAATTATATAACATATATATTTAACAATAATTTTTTCCATAATTCACAATTTTTTTTTTTTTTTTAAGATTTTTCGCGAAATAAAAAAAAGAAACCATTATCATAATAGAATCATTTTAAAATCTCATAAATGTAAATTATTATTTTACATATTTAAATAAATTTCTAAACATTTAAAATTCAAAATTTTTTTATTTTAAATGGGAACATGATTTTTCTATTTTAATATAACAGTCAAACACCTCACCACTTACTAAACACAAAGCATGAAAAGTATATTCTTTTGTACTGTAAATAAAAAAAAAAAAAACAAAAAAATAATAAAATTTTCTCTCATAAACAATTTCTTTCTTCCTCTTTTCTTCATCTCATCAAATTTAATTTCTCTCTTTCTCTCTCTTTCGTTTTTATTACTCTTTTCAAAGGCAGTATTGTGAACAAAAGAATTTATTTTTTGTTCAATTATTACGTTTCTATTAAATATTTTATTTGATATCATAAAAATTGTGAATTGTTGCGCGCTTTTATTTTCAGTTCTACTGAATAAACTACTTATTGTGAATTAAATAATGGTAAGAAATTTGAGTAGAAACTGCGTGCTAGTTGGCGTCTTGTAATAACTTTGTAACGATTAAGTTATACACTATATAATTAATTATACATATTATAACATTTTTTAAAATTGTGAATTTTATATTCACCAATTTTAAATTTAACTGAGAGAGGTAAAAGAGTAAATTTTCTACAATATGTAAAAACGTTTTGTCACGTAGATACTTAATTTTCCAAGTTTTTTTCTCTTTTTTTTAAAGCACGTTTTCTGCAGTAATTAATGTATAACGTACACATATAACAATATATATTTGTGTATTTTTATGTAAACAATTTGAAAAGTGTGTTCAACTTATAGTTTCTGCTTAAATTAAATAAATAAAATAACATAAAAATGTGTATAGGAAAAAATAATTATTATATTTTGTCTTGCATCATTTTACTCTTTAATATGACCTTCTACGAGAACAAACATTATAATTTCCTCTTGGTATAATTTTGAAAAGTTCTCCTTATTTGACTTTCAACTTATAACACATAATTTTTTTCACAATCTCATAGTATTAAAAAAATTCAATATGGAATTCAATTTTGTTTTGGTTTGTTTAAGAATAATCGTTTGAAAAGTCTGCAAAATATACTGACAAGAATATTGAAAAATACTATATAAAACTAGATACTATAGAAATCAAAATTCATAATAAACAGTGAATTTTAAGTACACAAAATATAACAGAATTATTTAATGTTATACAGCAATCGAGCAACATTACGTAACAATATTTTTCAGTTCGTTTGCTTCATTTATAATATTACAAACGTATTATGTTAATAAATCGCTATATTAAAGTCTTTTTAAATATTTAAAATTTGCTTAAAATGTATAATCTCAATCTTGAACATATCCTATAATAGTGAAGTGACACTCACGAATAATAAAAGTTCATTATAAAAATGTAAATATTAAATTGAGAATTTTGAAAAAAGCTTTTCTTTAAAACTCTATATGTAGACTTGTATATGTACTTGTATTATACCATCTAATTTGAGTAGTACTCCCAAAAAACTATACGAAATATGTATTTTCATATTTTGATACGTTCAATTACAATCCACTAACGGGTATACAGATAACATTAAAATTTTAACATAATCAATCTTCTTCATAAATAACAAAAATTATAGCAATTTCAAAAAAATTTAGAAATATGTTTTAGTATACGAAATATTCACAAAATGTAAATATCAACTAATAAAGTAATAGACAGGTTTTCGATGATGTCATTTTATTGCTCTAAAATTTTTTACATAAAACGAAATGAGCAAATTAAATCTGGTATTAAAGAGGGTTGCCAAACCTGTTGTAATTACCCAAAACTCATGTATTTTTAATGTTTTCGGCCAACTTTAGTTTTCATGAATTCATTTTCAAAAATTATTAATTTTAAGACAATTAGACAAAATCTGAAGCCTTCAATTTTGAGAATTAAAAATTTAATTTCAAAAAAATATTTTTTTTAATTACATGAATTTTTTAATATACATTAAAAATATTTTATCATGTAAATGACACACTTTTCACAGTTTTCATTTTCAATTTTATTTATGACAACTGAAAATTTATTTATATGTAAATACTTTGAAATGCATTCAGATATGGCAACTCTGATACTTTATTATTTTACGCTATTCATACCTTTTTCTAAACAAATCATTTAAGAGCTTTAAGCTCTTCAATATTGAGTTGATATATAGCAGCAATAAATATTTGTTGTTGCCTTACATTCACAGTTCCGTTCTCATTTCATTCTTAAATAACAGATAACATGTAACAGATTTACTCATTTTTTATCATATAAAATTTATTTCTTGAAAACGGTTATGTTTTACAGGATGTGAAAAAAGTTTTCGTATACATAAAATAAATTTGGAAAAAAAACAAAATTTTTTTTTGTTTCGTTTTAATGCGCATCCCCTGAATTATGACATGTGCAATTTTAAACAAAAATATTTAAATATATTTTACATTAACTTAATCTATGAATGTGTGTGTGTGTAAAAATGGAATATAAACAATAATATTTTTTTCTAATCTGTTAAGTACCTACGAGTATATATATACATACACATGAATTACATAGCATATACGTGTTATGTATAAGCATAAAATGGGTCACACATTTTTTTTATTGTTAACTTTATGCCAAACAGAAAAAGAGAAAGTTTATTTTTTAGAAAAACAAAGTGCACACACACACATGCAGTTTACATAATTATATGGACTCAGAAATTTTTCTTTATACTAAATTGCGTCTATTTTAACCGTTCCAATATAATTTACATATAATTTCATTATACAATTTTACTTACATACTTGTATACACTTTGCAAAATGTTTTATTAAAGTACTATTACCGTAATTAACTAAAGACTTATTGATTTTCGTCCTTTATATTATTCATTTATAAATGAAAAGTAATTTGATCGAAAATATATTAATTACCTATTTTAATTAAATATAATATATGGATGTATGTATTTATATACATACGAAGGTGTGTGCGTAGAGATATTATATTCCAAGGTAAAGTAATTTTTAATATGTACAATATAATTTGAAAATTATATCAAAAATTCAACCTACAATATATTTTCACAAATCCTTTACCAACTAGTACAGTTTAAGGACATTTGTACTTATACAACATATAACGTATATTCTGGATTGATTTTGTTTACTTATATTGTTAAGTCAATATATTAATTATAAAAATTTCTTGAATACCTTCATGTAAAGTATATAAACAGAAAAAATTAATGTGTTATAAATTTGGAATTTCGTTTACTTTTAATGTACATTTCGTTCCGTAATATTTTATTTAATTTTTTTAAAATAAAATTATTCGAAATCCAGATTCAATCGTTTTATAATAGATTGAAAACATTACCTATTGACAATTGAAATCTAGAGCTTTTATTTATATAGCTCTAGAATCTAGAATCTTTAAATGTATGTAAATAATGAAAACGATCTATTAAAATAATTCCCTTCATTTCATGCAAAAATTTAGTCATAATTTCAAAAAAATTTATATATCTAGCTACCTTTACAAACAAATACAAACAATTAATTTAATTAAGGATTCAATTAATTTAATCCTGAAAAAGTACAAGTTCCCTGCATTGTCTGTCTTACAGCAGTCTGCACGAGACGGACCAATAGAAGCAGGAAATGGATGAGAAGGAGACCAATTTTCACTGTCTCCGCGTAGGGCAGAATAAGCGTGCCAGGGCTGAACGAGATATCGAAGATGAACATCGAAGATTTAGCCAGATTCCTCAGGAGAACTGTGTGGCTTATATTTATCACTACTAATCACACGCTCAGTAACGGCCTGGTGGTCACGGGGTAACGGTAGCAAAATAGCACTTTTATACTAATTGGAGTGCAATAGAGCTGCTGCACCGGTCACGTCAACTAACGAATTAGGTATCAAACTCCACCCAAACTATTTATACTACTCATGCTTTCAAATATTTATAAAATACTCACACTCTATAGGAATACGCTTAAAACTTAATTATAGAAAATTTATTAATAGAAGAAATTTCGTAATATCTTCCTCGGTAATATTATCTCTTATTACGGTTCGTAAACTTAAATTGTTACAAATTTGAAATATGTGTTAATAAAATAAATTACATTACATTCTACATATATAGATGTGTTAGTCTATGACTCTGTGTATCTATCATAAAAATTCAATAATTTTTATATCAAAAACTATTTTGAAAGATGCCTTCGATTGACTTTTTTATTGAGCAAAAAAATGAAGCATTAATCAATTGAAAGTGAAATACACGGTTATGTAATTTTGAAAGTTTTACGAGAATTAATTTAAAATATCGCGAAAGTAGCTTGTTGAAATTTTGTTTTTTTTTGGTAAAAAATTACTTGATTTAAAATTGATGACTTTCAAATGTTCCACTTAAAAATTATTCAATCAAATACAAAGGGTCTAATTTTACAAAACCAGTTAGCCTTTCCACATATCTATAAGTCTAAGAGCTGGATCTACTATATATGCATAGTAAACATTTGCAAAGGGCGCCGGAAAACGGAGGCGTCATTGAAAACTTAAAAAAGAAAAATTAAATTTCAAAATAAATTCCAGATTTTAATTCTATAGCATGATAATGTTACAAAAAAGTGTTTTACTGAAAATTAATAAGAGGAGGGGAGCCTACTTGTGAAAAACCATGTAGGGCAGCTTGGTACCGGACCTGAATTACGTCATATTCAACTTCGATCTCATCACTTTAATTTTCAATTGCAAATATCATGAAAATCCACCCACATTATTTAAATACGAAAAACTAGAAAAAACTTATGAGATATATACCTACACTCTCCAATTCAATTGTGTTTTCTCTTTACTAAAATTTACAATTAATTTTTTTTTATAACAACTACATGTACAAATACATATACATATGAAATGCAAAAAAATTATCTTTATACCAATGTACTAAAAACTGTAAATATTTTGCACATTAATAACATATTTAATTTACAACAACCATATATGCATGTTTTAATTGATATTGTTAAATTATAGCCGGCACAGCTGTCAGAAGAACTTTAAGATTTTATTTAATAATTTTTAAATTTTTAATTTTGTTTTGTTTTTATACTTGAATTACTCGCAAGCCACACATTATTCTGATCAATAACTATTACACATAATGCAAAACATTATATATTTAACAGTATCACGAGAAATTCTTTTGCAAGAAAAATATTTATATGAAATATTAATTGAGAATTAACAGCGAAACAGATCAGAAAGGTATTTGACCTTTCCGTTTTAAAATATCCAAATACACAAACATATATGTACATATATTACAAGCATAGTATACGTAAGATAGATAAGTTGTTGATTAAAAATTTCACACTAAATTTCTTCTTTAATTTTTTCTCTAAAATATAAAATCTATAAATATATGTTAATTAATAGACTCGATAAATAAAAAAATTTTAACTATGTATTTAAAAATTTTTGTTATATTATAAAAATAATTTAATAAATTTGCTTTTAACTCTAATTTAAAGCTCTGGATTCGGAATGTGTTTCTTCGTATATAGAAAAAATTCAAATTTTCAGAATACTTTCAAATAAATGTGCTGTTGAAGTAAATATCTTATTGCATATAATTAGGAGGAATTTTAAAATATATAATATTTTTAGAAACTTGTATGTGCTTATTAGAATAAAAGTTAAAACTGATTAAGACTGAATTCAAGGAAATTTGTAAGCACAAAAATAGACTGAACTGCCGTTAAACCTATCAATGACGAGGGGGCTCCAACCCAACCTGAAACGCACTTGGGTTGTCATAACTTCCTAAAACTAGATAAACTATAATTAAGCAAATTAAAAAAATTAAATTAAAAGAATTAATAGAAGGAACCGAGAATTTGAAATTTGCAAGTCGACAACATATTCACAACACAAGTAAAGAGAGGAGGTTGAAAAAATTTTGATTTATTAAAATAAAAAGCGTACTTACGATATTTATTACCTGTTAAAATTAAATTACAAATTTGAGGAGAACTTAAATTTCACAAACGGGAGAACACCCATACAGACCAGCCTGGTAGTACAACTGATATTTTTTCTATAAATCTAATAGCTGGAATAATCTTAATTTTAGATACCTTTTCACAACTTACTTATATTTTGAATATTTTGTTATTTTTAAAATTTTTTCCTTAAATTCTAAATATTCTACCTATCATTATGTCGTAATAATTTCTTATACGAGAAATATTTACGACAGTCAACCCTCGTAATAATTTCATTGTTCGCTTTTTAATTTTAACCCTTAAAATTGTAGATAAATTTATGTAGTATTTTCTCATGCAATTAAAATTTACAAAAAAAAAAATAAATATGTGTAATAAACCCTTCAATTTAAATTTATTTGTTATTGTTTTCTTTTTATTCCTCTAATTTTCTTTTCTTTAAAATTTTTTTATTAAAAATATAAAAAATACTATCGCACTATCCAGAATAATGTCGTGTAATAATCGAATAAAATAACAGCAACTTTGTATGCAATGTATAACGGTTACAAAGTCCTAATAAAGCACATGGTTATATTATTTAAACATTCATTTACATACATAAATTTTACGTACATACATACATATTTATAATATATGTACATATTATTATTATACTTTTGTGCCTATGTAAATTTTAGATACATAAGGCGAATATAAAAAATATTAATAAGGGGTTTACGTTTTCCTTCCTTCTTTCTGTTAAAAGACTTACATTGTGCATATATATGTATATTTATATGTATATATATTTGTATGTATGTGAATAGGAGAATGACTAAAGAAAATATATTTTTTTTTTATTCTTTAAAATATTCATAAACATTCCATTTATGCAATACGAATGTAAATTAATGGTGGGCATGGTATTAAATTCATTCATATTAGAAAAAATAAAGTGTATACCAACTTATTTATACATACATACATAATGTGTGTCATATACTAAGCCGCTACAATTTATATATTCTGTATATACCAAATTATAACCTATATACGTGTATACTTAAGTATATCCTATATAAGGCATGTTTGTATAAAAATATTAAAAGCAACATTCGGAAAACAAATTGAATACGCGTCTCTTATTCCGTTTTCTTTTTCTTTAACCACATTTTTGCCTTCTTCCACAGTTAACCTCTGCAAAAATAGAGGTTAAATTATTATTTTTTTTTTTTAATTTAAGAAAATTTTAAGTATCTACTATAGTTAATTTGGAAAAATATTTTTATAATTCCAGTTATATAATTTAATTATTTCGGGAATATTAAACTTTTTCTATTTTTTTTAATTTCCTTTTTTTCATTCTACGAGTATTAAATTTTAATGTCGTTTTTTTTTCTTTATTGGTTTGAAAATAAAAAAAGATATCATTTTTAGTTGACACAACGCCCTCTGGTTAACAAATAAATATTCTATATCCTAATATTACACATAAATATAAATATGTTCCTCTACATGGGTAATACATAGAATACGTGAACGCAACATAATATTATAACGGTACCACAATTTACAATTAGGATTGGTATGTAACAATATTTTTTTTATGTATGCATAAGTTACTTGAAAAAAATGTGTATGCCATCGTAATGTAGAGCTCGAATTGAAAATTAACTTTCAAAATTAATGAACCATATTATAGTACATATATGTACATAAGTATGTTCATAAGTAAGTACATATAATATGTGGCACATACAAGAAAAAAGCACACTTTCTATCTGTTATACTTTATTATAATAATGTAAGTACTTTCGTATGTAAAAGTAAATCAAACAAACATAGTTTTCTCTTTTCCAATTTTATAATCTCATCAATTGCATAGTTTTCTTTTTTAAAAACAAAAAAAAAAAATTAAAAAGAATTAAAAGAGTAAAACAATTTTATAGAATTTAAACAAAAACAAAATTGGTTTATTACTTGACAATCATAAGATTATTATGGGAGCGAAATATTATTTAAAACATACATACCTAAATATGTTTTTCATTCTCTATCTTCCAGTTTGTAAGAGCATTGAAATTTTTTCCGAGTTGCTTTTTGCTAATTCAAGTGCATTTCAAATGGAATTAAATGCTTCGTCAAAATATCTGCATAAACAATATGGAAGGCGATACTGCGCCTAAATGTATGCCGCTTTCACAATATAGAAGTCTTTTTTATATTTCTCTTATGAATGGCAAATAAATGTTTGTGTACTTAAAATACGCAATACGTTCAGACTAAAATTTTTAAAATTTAAACATGGTGTATGTACATCGCTTTTAAAACTGCTATTATGACGTAGGAAAAATTTTACATAGTAACAAAGCGTCATTTAAGTGATATAAGTTGTATGATGCGTCTTACAGACTGAGGTTGCTTTTATATTCTTTTACATACACTGCTTGCATACGTATTTTTTATACAAGATGAGAAAATGTATTATGAACTTGAATAATTTCATATATATATGTATGTGATATATACATATGTATGTGATTATGAACTTGAAATACTACATGTTAAACTTGTTGAATTATCACTTATTAATTTTGCAATATCAATTACATAATTAATATTATTAAAATGAAATACAAAAATTTATTGCATTTATATGTGATTCATAACAAAGTTTATATAGCACAATATGATTAAAAGTAATTGAAATTTCTTATCTCTCTATATAAAATATATAATTTTTTTTTTTAAATAATGAACTTCACAAAGCCGGTGTGATAATTTTTTGCAAAAATTTCAAAAAATACAATAATAAAAAATTATATTATCTTTATATTATACACATACATGCATACATGTAATAAAACTCTATCTTTATAGAATTTTATATAAATTTTTTATACTAAATATATTTATAAAATATAAATGCATACGGTATATATAGGGTATCCGAAAATGAGTATATAAAGTTGACCTGAGTTATTAATAAAAATGGAAAAATTAGGCGGTTTCCAGAAATTGCAAATTTGAGGCCTCACAACTCGAGAAGGGAGGCTCGTGAAAGCAAAATATCATTATGCGATATTTGCTCGGCTGGAAGTATTCTATTATCTTACTTTCAGAATACCATCAAGTCTCGGACACCCTATATATTTTTACAAAAAAACGTATATACGATTATTTCTTAATTTCAAATTTTTATTATCAAAATAATACTGCCATTTATACTACAATTTGTATGTATAAATGTGTGTAGATGAATAATTAGTTATTCATACTTTTAAGCTCAAATAAAATTTTTTTTTTTCATATTAATAAAAATTTATTACTAAAAGCTACACAAGATTCAGTCGTATAGTAAAAAAAATAATCTCTTAATTTTGCAAAAATTAAAAAAAAATTATTAAACTGTCATGGTGTCATTTAAGTAGAGGTACCGAAATGGAAAAATTTTTTGTTTTCAAGATTCTAAAAATAGATTTGGACTTTTTAAGTTTTTGACGTTCTTGTAATTTGTAAGGCAAAATAATTTTAGCAAAGTTCTTTAACAAAATATTTTACTGTTTTAAAAAAAAAATTTTGGTTTTTTATAATTTTTATGTATACAATATTTTTTTTTGTTAATTATTCAAAAACTCGATTTGAAAATAAAAAAAAAAAAACTAATTTTTTTGTTAACTTGAACTTGATATGAAAAATTTCTTGTTTGTTGGTCTTATCTTTGTACCTACCTATGTACTTATTTTTTTGGGAATCCTGTTTAGTTTCTGAAAAAATTTTTTAGGATCAACTTTTATAAATATTGTAGGTAGTTTTTTTTTGTATTTTACCTTAATTTATTTTCTTTATTTTAATTAATATAATGAGATTACAATTAAATATAGCAATTCCTAAACTCACTGTTATATGGCGAGTTACATAATACCGGCGCTTTTTAATTAAAAAATGATATTCGTTATTATGTCTACGAATGCATTAATAATATATTGGAAGAGAAAAATATTTATGAATAATCCCTTAAACATATGTAGATATTATGATATATACAAATGTATATATGTATATGTAAGTATAGATGGTTATTTATTATTTTCATAATATCCATAAATTTATCCAATAACCATTTTAATACCAGTTCAACAGAGTATACAAACATACATACATACATTGTACATACTGTTATATTGACTGACTGACTATTTAAATGAAAGAAAAATAAAATTTCTTTTTCGGCTTTTCTCTTTCTCTTTCCTTCTCATTTTATTGTCCATTAACATATATATATTAATATATATATATATATATATATATACATACATTATATCTTTAATAACAATTTTTGTTTTTGCTTTCTTTTTTAAATCGCATTTCAGTTTGAATCAGAATTTCAACCGGTGTACATCACATCCTAAAGAAAACGACTGAAGAGTGAAAAAAAAAAATTCTAAAATCGGAAGAATATAGAATTTTTGATTTTTTTTTGCATTTTTTCATTTTTTTATAATATATGTATATATAGCTTTAACTAGAACAATATATACTTACTACATATAAACATAACTATTATCGAACATTTTATGTTATGCCGTTTACTAACATAATCAATGTACAATATTATATAGCAGCATAGAGAGAAAGAGAGAGAGAATTAAAAAGAGAGTATATGAATACTAAAATTAAATACGAAATTTTTAATATAAATAATAAATTGTTGGAATATATGAAAAATCGATTTGAAGTTGGTGATCTAATACAAAAAAAAAATAAAAAGAAAAAAATTAATAAAAAATTTTAAATATATTGTGTTTAATATTAATTAAAACGTTGTATTAAAATTCCGTTTTAGTTCACATTCAACTTATTCTTATTTAAATAAATTATAAAAAAAAAAAATTAAATTGAATTAAAAAGTTCGCGGGTTTTTAAATTCATTGTTTCAATTCAATTTATTCACTCAATATAACAACGCCAGTCCAGTCAAACCCTTAGTTTATTCTACATTTATTGTACTTATACCACATTTATTTGTGTAAATGCGTATGTACTCCATATGAGCAATATTGTTAAAATTTGGAATTAAAAAAAAAAAACATAGAGAGGAAAAGAATAAAAAATTAATAATTAATTATTTTCGAAATTTTGTTTTGTAAAAATAATTTTTACATTATGAAATTAATTTTTGGTATATTAATACTTAAAAGTATATTGGCAATAAGTTATGGCCATAAAATACTTGGATTATTTCCGACGGTAGCAAAATCACATCATATTGTTGGTACAGCATTAATGGAAAAATTAGCTGAACGTGGTCATGAAATAACAATGGTGTCACCATTTAAAGCTGATTCAAAATTATCAACCTTGAAAAATTTCCGTGATGTTGTAATCGAAGAAACATATAATCAATCGAGACGTAAGTTTATAAATTAAAATAAATATGTAGGGCTATAGCTACCTAACTAAGTCATCTAATCCATTCTAAATATTAGTAAATTATTATAAGTAATGAGTGTAGTCATTTTAAAAGAAAAAAAAAACAAAAATTTTGCGTTTTTCAGTTCTTTCATATCTTTTCAACAAATTTAAAGCAAATTTAGAAAAATCTATTGTCCATGTATAAAAATCTAGGTACATACACATGTACATAATATGTCTGTAGACTATAATTTGTGAATATAAACGTTCTTTTATCCTTGTAATAATGTATGTATGTATGTATAATGGTCAATGGACTTTACTTACCTGTGTGCTTTATTTTTCTTGTTTTTTTTCTTTCTTTGCAAAATGGTAGAAAAATGTGTACTAATTCGAATTTTTGACGGCTACGTGTCCAAAACTTGCCAAGGCTAAAAAATAAAAAAAAAATACATGTATGTATATAAAAAAAACATTTACTTTGAATTCAATTTAAATTTTTGGTCTCATGAGTAAGTCATTCAAATGGATTAATAAATGAAGCTAAAAAAGAAAAAGGCAATGAAATGAAATTAATAAAGAGAAAAAGAAGTTGTACTCTTTGTAAAAAAAAAAATTAATTTCTCCAAAAGAACTTTTATTAAAAGTAAAAAAAAGAAATGAATATTAAAAAAAAATTAAAGATAACAACATATAAATATATATATATATATGTAACCACATATATCATACCCATTTGTACATACAGAAATATACACGTACGCGCATAAATATTAAATATGTACATACAAACATAATTAGTATTTAGTCTTGTACTTTGAATCTTTTTCATCATGATGAGATACATTTAATGAACCGAACCGCATGATACCTAAATAAATATATTGCATATATGTACTTATATACATGTTATACTTTTACAGACATTTTATATTATGATATGATATATATAGTGATATATACAACAATATAACAATATATTTCATAAAATACATATGATATATATAGTGATATATACAACAATATAACAATATATTTCATAAAATATATATGATATATGTATATAGTGATATATACATATATATTTTATGAAAATCTCAGTTACGGTGATATTTTTCTTTAATATAAATGTACCTTCAAAAGTAAAAACTACCAAATCATATTGATCAAGGCTGCAGTTTTGATCACAGACCGAAATAACATAAGGTCTCAAATTATTTACACTCAAAGCAATATAGAATTTAGTCCTGGGTAGGTTAAAATCCATAGTCTAGTATAAAGAAAATTAAGACCTATTCTGTTTCGGACATTTGGTTTGGAGAAAATTGTTAAATAAAAAATTGCAAAAATTTATAAAAATAAATAAAATTTTGCCACTTTATAAAATAGACTTACAAAATCTGTGAAGCCGAACTTTAAAATCTATGTTTTGTCTACTTTCCATAGCTGAAAAATATTTCCTCATATATATACCATTATCAAATACAATAAATTAAAAATTTTTTAAAAAATTAATATTTTTAAAGTTATATTTCAAGTATTACAATTAAATATATATATAATAAAATCTCTCAGAACTCAAAAATTATTTTATTTTTGATGGCTTCACCATGCTTATACACGTTTACCGTAACATTCGTAAGTATTCACAAAGGTATAAATATTTACCTGAATAGCATACCTATTTCTTATGAAATGAAATAAAAAAACTTTTTTTCAAGTTATTTTCTTTTGCTTTCTAACCATCATTGAAATATTTCTGAATTTATGTATGTATATTTATATATCTATGTATTTCGTATAATATATTATGTATGTGTATATATACTTATTTAAGAGTATTTTAAACATTTCTATTTTAGTTATTCTTACCAATATGAGTGAATGAATAATTTACCGGTGAAAAATCTAGCTATAACATTTTTAGCTATACTTAGAGACTTTGATAAACATTAAAAATATTTTATAAAATAAATATTTTTATATAATGAATATCTGCTTGGATATATAAACATATGAGAAAAATATAAGTAATTATACTTAATATATATCAGTATATACTAAGTATATGAATTTATAACTAAAATACGGTGGAATTCAGACAAACTCCATTTCAAATTTTATCAAAGTTTATCAGCTTCCGTAATTTGAAAATTGATCTGTGTAACTCATATAAAACTGGGTTGTGTATTAATATCGTATTACTGTGATATTAAAGTTGGAGCGAATTTTCAATAGACAAACATATACTTACGTGATAAATATTTTGTAATTTCATAACAACTTTTAATTTATTTTTCAAAAATTACGGAACTTAACAATTAATTAATTAAAAATTAATTAGTACTTACTATGAATCGATAATTAATTGAAAATGGCTCGTGGTACAATTTTGTATAATTATATCAATAACAAAATAAGTATCTGCAGTATATTATGGGTAACTGCATGTTTTACTTCCCATATGATAATCACATGGTTGTGAAAAGATCGGCCGTAAATGTGAAATATGCCAATGAAAAAATCTGTGTAGTTCCTAGTTCCTATTTGAAACGATTCCCACAAAATACACATTAATTCATTCTTTCCGCAAACAAAACGGATATCGAACCTATGATACAGACAAGCAGACAATCAGCCAGACAAACAGATTGCTAAACATGTATATAGATATGCCTATCTCACCAAAAATAATCTCTTTACGTTTCTCTAGCATGGTCGTCAAATATATTTTGATTGAAAGCATTACATGTGAAATTTGAAAAAACAATCACAATGCAACTTGAATTATTGCATAAATTAAGGGTGATAATGAATCACGTATACTTAAATATAGAATAATCGATGGTGTACTGTAAATTAAATACATATACACATCTCTGATTGTTATATTATATATACATATATATCTATGTATATACTTTATAATAAAAAAACTAACTGCCTAAAAATATTTATATTCTATTTTTAAAATTAATTCACTAGACAGTTTAAGCTTTTTTTTTCTTTTCACAATATTACCGACATATAACAACAAAGGAACGTACATATATAATTAAAGGATGGTGAGAAAATTTTCAACGTATTTAAATGTATTGTACACATATATATATATATCACATTTACATTCATTGGTATATATACCCTATTATAGTTCAGTCAATTAATATAAAGCTTAAATTACATATTTTAATTGGTATAATTTAAATTAAGTCAGAATAGTTAATAATGTAAAATGTAATTAAGTAGGTGATTACTATTAACTAAGTGGTTTGTTTCTCTACTTTAAAATGAAGTAAGCAAACATATACAAAATTCCAGAACAAAGTAAAAGATAACAGACTTAACACAAATTTTTTTTTATTCATCATTTTTTCCTTATTTCTCTTCTTATAATTTTTCGCCAGGTGGCACTAGGTTTCATAGTTCAGTTTTTCGTCTCTTCTTTTTTTTTTAAAATGTATGAATAAGTACATGTACACAAAAATATTCTTTTGATAAATGCTTTTTGGCGCTCTCCTTTTCTGTTTAAAAAAAAAAATATCCGAGAACATTTTTAGGGCAATTTATTTTCTTTTGTGTTAAATGAACACAAAAAAAATTTTTTTGTTTATTTTAAATGCAATTAAAAAATCTAAAATTATAAATCACAAATTAAGAATAAAAATTGATTGAAAAATTTCCATATTCTTCAACTATTATACAAAGAGAGCAAAAAATTTAAAAAAAACCAAGGAAAAATCAAATTTATCGAATAATTATACTTAATTTAAGAAAAAAGAAGAATATTGAAATGTAATCAAACAGAAAACAAATTAAGATCTGACAACTTAAAGATCAAATTATAATTAAGATATTTTCACTCAAATAAGAAAATGTTTGAATAATTAGACGATCATTTGAATTTGACGTAAACATCTCTGAAGTTTATAATTTCCGGCACACAGTAGTTCCGTTTTTGCAATAGTATGGCTGTAACGTAATAATCACAACATTTTTTTTATGCGAGAATCCATTTAATATTGTTCTCTTTAACCAGAACAACGCATCTAAATTCTCTTTCATTCTTTTTCTTAAGTGGTTGCCCTCTATACTCATTTTAAAAGAATATTATCTAAATGTGTTTGTTTATGTTTCTCAGGTTATACTTACATAATTTGATATTATGATTAATGGATAAATTTTAAAATTTTTATAATCTAATTAAATAACAAGAAAAAAAATAATTATGTTTTTGATAAATACGTCCCCATTTGTATTTAATGGGCTATATATGTTACGTTATTTATAGGAAACCAATTGAAATTGTTATTAATAATTTTGAGCAATAATTTTATGTTTTTTATCCAGAAACAGAAATTCATTAATTAATTTTTTTAATTTCAAAATCAATGAAATGGTATTGTTTACTTTTTATTTCCAAAAAACAGAAACACCCCGTTATATTAATTATTTAAATTTACCCACAAATCTTATAATTATTATTTAATTACCCATATATTTTTATATTCATTTTATAGTTATGCATGCAACTATACTATGTACGAAACACAAGTCCAATTAAAAAAAAAATAAAATTTTAACAAAATAATGCCGGGAATAATTAATTGATTTACTATATTTTTTTCCTAAATATGAATAAGTAAATACATTAAATAATTTTAGTTTGTTGGCGTGACCGGTGCTACTGGTCCGCAGCACTCAATTACCACTAATGTGTTGTTTAGATACCACCCTCCAGTGACAACCAGGCCATCATTGAGCATACAATTACTGATATCTAAGCAAACAGGTTATATTTTTTCGAGTTGATCCCCGATGCAAAAATTTCATGCCAATTCGAGATACAAATTTTCGACCTCTAGCCCAGACCCGTCACGTTTGCTCTAATTTGTTAATTTTATCATTTTAATGCTGCCTATCGCAATTTCTCTGTGTTTGTAAAATTTAAAAAGGAGTTTATGGTTTCGACATAAATTACCCAAAAATTTCTCAAATTTTAGGTCTATGAAGCCTTTAATTTTAAAATGGAGGAATGTTGATAAAAATTTTCTTCTAATATAAAATAGTTTAGTCTGTTATATGGGCATAAATTCTTTAACTTTTCTATGATTATCAATATAAAAGTTTTATTTTAACAGAAGCATGTACAGGGGGACGGGGCTGACAGAAATGTTTAATATACATATTTCTTGTCAAATACGAGAAATATAAGATTTCGTACTGTTTCATTACGCAGTTAATTATAAAAAAGATGAGATATAAATAATTATGATATACTTCGTAGATATAATTGCATAACAGATAAGAAGTATATGTAAATATAAAATTATTTATTCAAATCCAGATATGTATGTATATGTAAGTACAATTAAATTTGGATTAATGCAAAGGAACAAGCCAATTTTTCAGCTTAATTAGGCAGATATCAGGTTTATCAAGTTAAAAATGATAAAATTTAATATTAAATGAAATTTATAATAATTTTTATAATTATTACTTTAAAAGCTTTTATTATTACTTTACTAAGTATATTTATTTATCAATTAATTTATTTATGTAATCAATACTTCAATAATCAATCAATTGTAACATTAATTTAGAGTAACTAATCAATTATAGTTACTCACTTTGAATATTTCATTTGATTGGCATTTGAATAATAAACATGGTCAGTAGTAAAGTTTTCATTCTAATTAACCTTCAGTTGATATTCCAAAATAATTAAATGATAATACAAAAATGAAGAAAGAAATTTAAATTATATTATTTTTTTACATTTATAATATTATTATATTATATTTTTATTGCAGACTGTAATGAGTATCTACTGAGTAAAACAAAATTCAACTTTTCAATTCATCTGAATACAAAATGAAATTTTGTGTATATGCACTTGAAAGATCAATATTTCTTAGATATAAAGATAACCAGAATTAAATTTGTTTATATAAAAATTAAACAAGAAAAATATTATAATTTTTTTTTTTTGAAATTTTAAGAACAATGGAATAAAATATTTCATTTAATACTCAATTACATTTACGAATATAACAAAAAGATCAATTTGATTTAAAAAAAAATTTCTTAAGTGCAAACTTTGAATATTGTCGAAAATTCCACTGATATATAAAAAGATTTTGCTAATTAACAACTTTACTTTAATTACATCTAAATTGCTAATTTTAGAGCTATTTTACATGCAATTCTATAACTCAGAATATCTTATAGTAGTCATGGCAAATGCATGATAATTAATGCAATCCATTTTATGTTATTCTCATTATAAGAATATAAAATTAACAAGTAGTTTTGGGGTTAATGATTTCAAATATTGGGGATACCTTTTGCTTATTTATTTAAAATAATACTTAGAAAAAGAGTTACCCTCCCATAGGCATGTTTATGCAAATAATTGCCTTTGCAAACAGAGCAGTACTTCGTGACAACATGACCCATGAAATTGAGAAAGATACTTTAAAAGACGCAAAAACTTAAAATTTTATCCAATTTCTAACAATTGACATTTGTGTAATTGTTGAATTTTAGTTTGAAGATCAAGTGAGGGTTAATTTGAAGTTTAAAATTTTTATTTTTGTATCAGCTACATTTGATTGATGGCTGTTATATGGTTAAATTTTAATGATATTCCAAAAATAATATGTTGCATAAAAAATTTTACATTCTTACCCTTATGTGTTATTTGCGTTTCCTTGAAACCGATTCCTTATTTTATATCCGATAAATCGAAACGTATCATATCTCTCTTTACATGCGAAATAAAAATATTTTTCTGTCTCGATATCTGTAAATTAGAAATTTTAAATTGTACAAACCTACAAACTTACCTACAAAAAAAAATGAAATTAGCTTATAAAGTTGTTAGAATCATAATTTTATTGAACTCTAGATATGTTTGAATAATATAATGTAGTCCCAAATAATAAAAAATAATTTTCGAACAAAATTTGAGAACATTAAAAATAAAATTCAAAAAACAATGAAAATACGGAAAAATCCAAATAAATTAGAAAGCTTTCAAGACAAAAACAATTCTCTCCATTATAGTTTTCCCGTACCGTAATAATTTAACTTGAACCATTCATTACTTTGATGATCTACACCCAAATGTCTAAGTATTTATGACAATGGACATTATTTATACTTAAAAGTCGAAAATAAGGTTACCACAACACATCACATACAAACATATATTCAGTAATATTTTATTATTAACATTTATATATAAAACAAAAAATAAACGAGTCTTGATACTAATAGGATTATACAAATACATTATAATCCAGCATTAATTTTGCAAAAACAAGAAAAAAGGACATTTTTTCTCCTAATTTTCAGTAGTTATTAAGGACATAACAACAAAAAACAAAACACAAAAAAATATTATTAATGATCTAATTTTCTTCTCTCTCTTTTTATTTTTTAGCAATGATTGAAAGCATTTTTGAAATGGTTACAACAAAAAATATTTTTGAAATATTTCATGGATTCTCAGATATTGGTATTAAAATCTCAAATTTAACAATGCAGGAGCCAATGATACAAAAATTATTAAAATCAAATGAAAAATTTGATTTAATTATTTGTGAAATGACAATGAATGAAGTATTACTCGGTTTTGGTCATCGTTTTAATGCACCAATTATTGCTGTATCAACATTTGGACCATCATTATGGACAACAGATTTAGTTGGTACACCATCACCATTATCATATGTGCCACATCCATTTTTAAAATTATCTGATAAAATGAATTTAATTGAAAGAATAATGAATATATTAGCAGCAACATATGAACGTATCTATTATGATAATTTTTATTATCCACGTCAAGTTAATTTATATAATGAACATTTTCCAAATCCAAAACCATCATTACAATCATTACGTGAAAATGTATCATTAGTATTAGTTAATAGTCATTTTAGTTTAACAGCACCGAGACCACTTGTACCAAATATGATTGAAGTTGGTGGTTTTCATTTAAATAGAACAGAAAATCCAATACCAAATAATATTAAAACATTTTTAGATACAGCAAAACATGGTGCAATATTATTTACACTTGGTTCTGAAATAAAAACAACTGAATTACCACCAGAAAAATTATCAGCTATATTAAATGTATTTAGATCATTAAAACAAAAAGTTTTATTTAAATGGGAAAATTGGAATTTACCAAATAAACCAGATAATGTATTAATAAGTAATTGGTTTCCACAAAAAGAAATTTTATCACATTCAAATTTAAAATTATTAATAACACAAGGTGGTCTATTAAGTATTATGGAAGCAATTAATGCTGGTGTACCATTTATTGGTATACCATTATATGGTGATCAATATATGAATATGAAATTTGCTGAAAAATCTGGTATCGGTATATCATTATCATATGATATGTTAGATGAAAAAGAATTAAGAACAGCTGTTGCATATATATTAGAGGATCAAGATTATGAACATAATATTAAAGAATTAAAATCACGTTATGAAGATCAACCAATAAAACCAATTGATAATGCAATTTATTGGATTGAATATGTTATAAAACATAAAGGTGCTATACATATGAGATCAGCTGGTCAACATTTAAATTATATACAATATCATAATATTGATGCATTAGGAATATTATTTGGAATTGCTTTTATAATATTTTATTTAATATGGGCATTAATTATGAAATGTTTATGCAGTGGACGTAGTAAACGTCAAAAATTTCAAGAAACAAATCAACCAAATCATAAAATTAAATATTCAAAAAAGAAAAAAAATAATTAATTTTAGGTTGTTAAATTAAAAAAAAAATTCATTTCATTTTTTTTTTTTTTTTTAATTTTGTTTCCTTAACTTTATAAAAAAAACCTTTAAAACCTCCTAAATGTTCTTGTTTTTTTTTTTTTTGTTTTTGTAATTTTAGAATTCAATTAAACTTTCTGTTAGCTAATTTAAAATTACAATTAATAAAGTAAAAGAAAAAAAACATAAATAGACTAGCAAAATAAGACTAGAATTTTTTTTTTTAAATTTCTGATTAAGACTAATGTTCTTGTGTAATGCAATTTTATTTTAGTATTCTTACAAACACACCGGAAAATGATTTAAAATAGCCGTGAATTGAATACACTGTTTTGGAAAATATAGTCTTACTATATTTTCTGATAAACTACATGTATATCATATGAGAATCTATATGCAACTAATAAAGCTTTATGAAAAATTTATTGCCAACTCTATTTTACATCCAACAGTTACATTGGGATTTATGTCACTCTTCATATCACCTCCAGTTTTTCAATAAACTCATTATCTCTCTTTTGGCGAGTTCAATAGAGGTTTACAAAGAATATGAAATGAAGATTGATAAAAATTTTCTTACTACACCAAATAATTATTAAATTTAATAATGGCTGCTACCGGTTTAAAATCTAACTCACATTTTTAATGAAAATTCAAATTGGCCTTTCTAATTTTATCTTTCGAATACTAAAATAAAAAAATTGCATTAAAAAAATTACACTTAATCTGATTTTTTTGTGAACGATAACAGTATATTTTTTTCCTCAATTATTTTACTAAACTAAAATTTGTAATTTTTCAATAAAAATATTTGAAAAAAAAAAATAGGGAAAAAATATACTAAAAATTAAAAAAAAAAAACGAAAGATCTCTGAGAAATAAAAAATAAATGAAAATAATAAAAAAGAAAAACCCAATTTAAATTCATTTTTTAATTACTTAATATAGTATAATACTCGAATTTTAAATTAAAAAGATTAAATTAAAAAAAAAATATATAAAATATTTTAAAGGATGAATAGAAAAACAAACAAACAAACAAAAAATAATTAGAAAAAAAGATTTTTTTTTTTAATTATTTTAAGTCAAATGTTTTCTTACCCAGCATTTACACATACAAGTTACTTGCAAGCAAGTTTGTATAATATTAATTGTCAATTAGTTTTTCGAAATGTCAAATTACTTGCTATTATGACGTAGGCGTTTAGCAAGTTAATTTTTGAAAATGTCTTTGAGAAGAAAACAACTAGCAATATATTATATAATTGTTTATAAATTTTAGAAACCATAAGTTTGCTAAGTTTAATTTTTTCAAAACAAAATTCAAAAATTTTAAATTAAAAAAAAAAAAAAATCAAAACAAATTTTTTTTTGTGAATTTCTCAATATGTCAAATTACTTGCTCAAATTACTGGCAGCAAAATTTTCTTGCAAGTTGAACTGCAAGTAAACAAGCAAGTAGAAATATTTCAATGTGTTAGTAAAATTTTTGTATGTATTGCAACTTTCTTGCAAGTAACTTGTACGTGTAAATGCTGGGTTACCAAAAACAAAAAGAAAAAAAAAAACAAAAGTACACTAAAAGAAACGAAAATTTTGAAATTTTTTTGGTAAAAAATAAAAAAAAAAATGTGAAAGAAAAAGAAAATATTTAAGAAAAAAAAAAATGGAAAACTTTAATAATTAATTATTGTCTTGTTAATTCAAAAATTTGATTTTTACTAATAAAAAAAAAAAGAAAAAAAAACAACCAAACAAATAAATAAATTCTTTTTGATAAAATTGTTGAAATTCTTTGAAAAATAATTTTAATTTTTCTATTTTATATAAACTTTACAGACTACATTAAAAAAAAATAAAATTAGAGCCAGAAATTATTTTCGATTCTAGTTCAAAATTTAATTTCTAGTTTAAAATTTAATTAAATTGTAAATTTTTGCAGTATGCAAAACTCTAAGTGTATAGTTTGTTTATAACATTTCAATTCTCTACGTTTTAATATTAAATATTTTCTAATAATTTATGTAAAAAAATATGCAACACAGGATTTTGTAATGCTCTTGAATTAAGATCAAAAATTATGATTCGAAATGAATTTTTAGGTACTCGTATTTCGATACAAAGTAAAAATTCCATTATTTAAAATTCCACTCGTAAAATCCTACAAATTACGAAATTAGGTATGACGTAGACTTTTGAATGATCATAAATTCCTTTCGTAGAAATTATATCAATCAGCAATGGCAAATACAATTTTTCGGAGTTTCAAAATTAATATTTTATTTCAGTGCTATTTTTATTACGAAAGTAATTTATGGTTAAACTATTACGAATATTCCGAGTAGAATTCCGAATTTTTCTGAATTTTAAAGTTACGATTGAAAAAATTCATGATAGGGCGGGCTGACAGTGTAAATTGTTAATATAACTAATTTGAATAAAATTTTTATTCTCTTGTAGTAATTAAATTGTAAATATTTTTTTCGAATTTATTTTAATACTAAGTAGAACAATATTATTAACTTTCCTTAACTTGTTAATAAAATTTAGAAAAATTCTTTACAATTTTTCGGACAAATACTTTTCCTAAAATTAACAGGTTTTCTTGTGATTTTTTTTTTCAAATAAACAGAATTTAAATTTTGTATAAAAAAATTAACTTTTTATTAATTAATTAATAAAATCTTTAATATTATTTTTAATTATACACGTATATATTTACATATACATAACGTTATATTTATTATTTTATTATACATTATAGTATAAAATAATATTTTTTTCTTTAAATTTTAATTTAAGCTTCTGTTACTTTCTTTTTCATTTCCATTAATTAAAAAATACAAAATAATACCATTTAAAAAAAATATTTAATATTCTTATATAATATCTAATATAAAACTAGGTACATATTATATACTATTTTATTTTATATAATATATTTTATTTTCTTCTCGGTAATACAAATCTATTTGATATTTTCATAAATGGTGTTTCCCATAATACTACAGCTATAAATGATGCTGCAATTGATAATACATTAATACCTAATAGATCAGTAAATGAACCCATTTCACTAAATAATGTTGCTTCAGTTCGTGTTCCAAAAACACCATATATTAATAATGGTGCAATCATATAAATGCTATAACAGAATTTATTCATAAATAAAAATATTTTTGAGCTCATCATATTATTAAATATTCCGCCATAACCTTGTTGACATAAATAAATTATTGTACCAATAAAAATACCAAATATCATTTTACCAAATGACATTATTATTGCAACAATAATTGATGGTGTATTTCGAAAATATGTCATAAATATTGTTATTAAATAAATGACAACAGCTGTTAACCAAAATACTGTTAATGTTGGAAAACTAATTTTAGCACCACCTTTATTATTAGTTTTATACAGGGCCCAACCCATTAAAGCACCTCCAAAATATGGATTAACTCGTACCCATGGTTTTACATATAATGCCTCTAGCGTTGAATTTGAAACATCAATTCTATAAATGAAATTAAAGAAATTTTATTAGTGCAATATTATATTTATTAGGAGATTAACATATTTAGGAGCGTAATCATAAATTTAAGTGTTTTGAAGGAGAAATAACGTAGTTCAAGGAATAAGTGTACCAATGTAATATTTCGATAATGATTTTGTTGATTTTCTCCTTAACATATGCAATTTTTACGGTTTTTTTTTAAATAATTCAAATACAATATTATAAGATCATTGCTTATCCTAAATGTATGCAATTTAATATTGTTTTTCTTTCTAAATGAATTAAAATGATTTAAATTACTTAATTTTGAAAAAATTCTTAAATTCAAAATTTGTTCAAGTATGCACTAGAACCTAAATGAAGTTTCGAAATAAATATTGCAAAATTTTTATTACTAACTTTTTGTATAACTATAAAATTTAAATAAAATAAAGAAAGCTATTACAAAATTTACTCTTAAAAATTATTGAAAAAATTTGGCTACAACATGAAATCAAGTATTTCAATATAACATTTAAAGTCATCTGATTGCTATAAGATATAAATGAAATATAAATTTACTTACTATATATTTTGTAACATTATACTTACTGAAATGTGATTCCATTATAAAAATTACACCAGAAACTTATTAAAACCAATGAAATTGCACTTATTGCAAAAATACTTTTTCCAAGTTTTTCATGTTTAATGTACACGAATATAATTATTTGGAAAAATATGAAAAATTGCATTTCACAACCCAAATACCAACTCCATGACGTACAAATATATTTTAAATCCATGAAATTATTGATCAGCAAAATGTTATACCACCAAGTTCTATAAAATATACAAAGAATAAATATAAAACAAAAAATTTTAATAAATTTCAAATTTTAATATAAAAAAAAATTTTACTCTCTACAATTAATTCCAATATTAGGATCCATTCGAAATGGTGAAAAAACATCTAAAAGTTCGAAGAATATTTCAGCAAAAACCATGGCCAATATAATCATTGGCATTAATCTAAAAGCAATTTAAATAAATTATTATATAAGTTGGAATTTTATAGAGGCTTACCTTAGGTAGCGATTTAAAACAAGTTTTAAGAAAAATTTAACATTTTGCCAAAATGAATTATTCTTTACCAAATTTGTATAAAATGAATTCGAAAGGAAATTATTAACCAACAAGAAGCCGCTGGAATTTTAAAACATAAAAAATTAGTTTATAACAAAATTTAAATAAGAAAATTTGAAATATGTGGAAATTGACTAGTCAATTATGTGGTCAACTATTTTTGATTTCTTTCAATTAAAATGCTAAACTCAAATCCGCGATTTTTAGGAATTTTTTTTCAAAAAAATTTTAACATATTCCACTGTTCGGCTTCTTCCCTTCTCTTGAATACAATAATTTTTAAATTTTTTTAAATTAAAACAAAATTTCCACACATCTATTATATTATTATTTTAGTCACTTATTCAAAATTACCTTATTACAAAAAAAACATCAACATAAAAACATGATTGTATAACGGGTTGTAAATTAAAATTTTCTAATTTTGAAAATAATTGTGGTACATTACTAATTGCAAATAATGAATAATAATAAACATGAAATAATGTAACCCATAAACAAACAATTGTTCGTAAACCAGCTATTACTGAAATAAAATGTTTTGAATCATCTAATTTTAATGCTCGATTAAAATTATCCCGAAGATCAAAGCATAATAGAAAATCTTCAAATGATGATTTTTCTTGTACTAAATGATCATCACAATTATTTTTCATTAATTGAGCTCTTTTTTCACGCATTCTTAATACAATTTCTGCTAAAAATCCAAAAATTAAAACAGTTGACAAAAGAGTCCTGGAAAGAAATAAAATGAATCTTTAAATATTTTTTAATTTATAAATAAAATTTACGATATTGTCAATGAAAATCTAGATAAAATTTAGGTATAAAATTGAGGCTCAAATTTTTTATTTGATAATCTTTTTGTAAACGTGCAAGATTTGCGTTTACGCAATGTAAAAGTTCTATGTTACACACACCGTTATTTCAAAAAAATCTCAATACAATTCTAAATCCAAAATATTTCACTCCAAATGGTTTGTAGACTTTTTTACAGTATAGATATTTAAATAATTGTCGCGACACTCACACTAATTATAAAATTTTTTATTATAGAAACTCCAATCGGGCAAAGCCCGAAATATGTAGTCATATGTAGATTAACTAATTAAAGGCAAGATTGATGTGATATATGAGTTAAGTTTAGACTCGTTTTCAAATGTGTGAGCAAAACATATTTGTAAATGTGTATGTATACAATTAATTATCTGAAATTTCCCTTAAACTATTATAGAAAATATTATCTGAATACAAATGATATAGGTCTCAAAACCTTTACAAATTACATTAGTACCTGTTACATTTTACATTATTACCCGTTAAAAATTAAATTATAAATTTCAATATACACGGTGATTCACCGACTAGTTAGGTTTATTTTGTAAATTCTGTAAAAAAAATTTTAGAAGTTTCAAAAAAATTCATGAGAAATTGTCGAGAAAAAAAAAATTAAAAAAACAAATAAAAGATGAGTAAAATTGGAATTTTCCTCAAGTTCAAGTGCTTATATTTCCGAAAAAACATGCAAAACCAAATACCCCGCTGTTCTTTATTTGAAGCTTTCTTAAACCTGTTTCAAAAACTATTTGTTTGAAATTTCTATCTTTTTTGGAACGGAAGTTATAAGCAAAAAAACTTGAATATGTTAAAATTTCGCCAAATTTTCTTAAAATCCTTGTAGCTCGAAAACGGCTCCGAATTAACACTATGTTCCGAAAAATAAAAATGTTATTCATTTTAGATCCTCTACCCGGTGGTATATGACTCCTAACTTGTCGTTGAATCATCCTGTATATTCATCCTGCACATACGAATACTTACAAAAATATAATAACACCAATATTTAATACAAATTTCCATTTGAGTGATGGTGTTTTACTGGCAAGGAAATTCATCTTTAAATTCAAATCCTTTTGTGGTTGAAATGTTTGCCTACTAAAATATGCTGTCGAGAATTGATTGATTTTTTTCATAGAACATGAAACCGGTAAACAGACACCCACGTGAATTGTTTGCTAAAAAAGAAAAAAAGAAATTGTAAATTTTTTTTTTTAAATTATTCAAAGATTGTTAAAAGTGTAATTTGTTAAAAAGGTAAGCATGTACACAAGCATATTTGTAAAATTTGTGAAATAAAAATAGAAAAATATTTTAAAAAATATTTAAGAGAACATAAAGTAAAGAGAATACTTATACAAATTTATGTGGAAAAAAATAATAAATGAGAGAAACAACAACCTTTTTTTAAAAACAAAAATTTTTGCTACACATTAATTATTTGAAACTAGAGGACATTGTTACATTTTCCAACTTAAAGATTTTGTAAATTCTTTCTATATGTCAGAAAAATTGATTTGAATAGAGTGCTATTCAATATGTAGTGTAAACTAAGGTAAAATATTCATTATGTGATTGATGTGTTCTGATGTCAGGCACACGCAACTGCAAGATAAATTTTTTACAATTTTGTAAAAATTCATACAAGTCGTAAGAATCGTAAGAACAACTAAATTATATAAAATAATTAACATATCTGCAATTAATTTACTTATTTTTTAAAACATAATAGAATAAAAATAAAATATGCATCAAATGGTAAATTTGATTTAATTGGAGAACGAGCTTAAGAAGATTTGTAGATTTGTGCCTCCCCCCCCCCCCCCCCCCCCCCCCCCCCCCCGTAGTTCTTCCGTATAATAAACTGCAAAAGAAATTTTTTTTTGTTTATTCTGCAAAATTGTTTATCAACTTTTAACAGTACAATTCTAGAATATTTTATTACAAATATTTGTCGAGATGTGTACATAATATAATTCATGAGAATTAGTAAAATTGATATTAAAAAAATTCGAATACTCAAATGGTATTACTTTCTTAATAAAATGTTCCAATTTTATAAATTGTTACCGCAGTACTCGCATTCTATCAAAAAAGCTCTAAAACGCATAGTCTTATAAGAAACAATGTATTTTGGAAAATTTTACTTGCAATTCCAATGTAAGTAACAATAATTGAAAATTTTTTCTCTCTTTAATTTACAATGTTATAAATTATGAAATTATTAAAATTTTAAAATTAACATTTCATATTTACAACACAACTCTATTATAAGAATTAATAATATTATAACACTTTAAACGGGAATTGGACTGTTAGGCCACATATATAGAGAATAGCACTCTAATACCAATATATCACTTTACATTTTTATATACGGAAAATAAACATCAAATCTTCAATATTGACATCTAAAGCTTAGTTTTTACTCTAAGTACAATTCCATTTACAAACTACACCCAACTATTCGGAGTTAGTTGGTTGACGTAACCGGTACAGAAAGTCCACCACACCTAAATTAGCATAAATGTGCAATTTTATTTCCACAACTTCGTGATCACTAGGCCGTCATTGAGTCTACAATTAAAAATCACTTCTTAGCTTTATAGCAAAGTGTAGTATCTACTCGGAGTAGTTTGAAATATTTAGGCTTTTGAGTAACTACCAATTACTTATAAAAACAAATCTACTGTGAATTTTAAAAACAAGTTTTTTTTAATGGGAATTTTTTTCTTTTCTATGCAACAAGTGAAAATAATTAAGAAAAAGCTTTACAAAAACTAGCTATTTAGAATTTTCACTCTACTGAAAAATAGTCATTCACAATAGACAATCATATAGGTAGTCATTCACAATAGAATACAAAAAATGTAAACTTATGTTTTTTTCAGTTTCTTAATATCCAATTAATTTTAGTTGATTTTTATGTGAAACAATTTAATTTTTTGTGAATTTTCATTTTTTTTTATTTCTTTTAAAAATTATTGCAAACACGCATATATTAATAACAATATTAAATTACAACAGTAATCCAATTGATCCAATATAATTAAGGCATACAAACAATTTCGCTAAGTACTATTTTGAGCACACGTTTTGTACAATAAGCATTTGTATATAACATTATCCGTTATTTTATAATCGTTTGATTTTGTAATTTTTTTATTTTTTGTATAATAAGAAAATGAAAGAAAATTATGAGTTGAAGGTGTTGTCGTCGTATTTTTTAACCATTATTACAAAATTTTTCTTTCTTTTTCATTTTTCTCATCTTACAATTAAATTTTTTTTTTTGTTTTTCAGTGTAGGTATATTTACTCTTTTTTGGCACAATTTCAGTACATTAATAAAATATTGTAGATAAATAAGTAAGTAAGTAAGACAGACAAAATAAAAATGACAATTTTTATGGCGAGGCTTCGTTTTTATCACTTTAACAAATAAATAATTACGTGCAACATAAAGTGTTATTAAGTAACCCGTCGTTTCGTCGATAATAAAGCAATATTAAACATGCTGCATACGAAAAGAAATTGGATCAAATTTTAGTTTAATTGCATCTATTTTTATTTAATAAAAATAAAATGAATTAAATATGAATTAAATGTACTTCAAAAATAAAACAAATCTAAAATGTTTGGATATCGTCAAAAAAATTTTTAAAATTTTTTAAAATTTGCTATGTGAGCAGCACATATCGCGATCGCGATATTAGAGTGTTGCATAAGGTAATGAAACAATTATTTGAAATTTGTAGAAGATAGCCTTAGTTTTAATGTAACTAGAAAAATTTAAATTTATTTCTTATTACAGGTTCATATTTAATGATCCGTTTTTCCTGTAAAGTTTTCCAGTTAATTTTGTTGACAACCAGAATATAAATATTAAATTTCAACGAATACCTTAGATTATTTCCATCTGGATATGATAAAATTCGAAAAATTAAACCCTAAGTGAAGGTTTTGTTTCCAATAACCAAAATTTGCAATATTAAATTTTAAGGAAATTGGTTTGTTAAAACTCGATATACGACCAAAAATTTAAATTCGACTCTTCAGAAAAGGTTTAATGCTTGAGACATGATATATCCCAAAGTTGATCAAACCATCCCATTCTCAAAGTAAACTCAGATACAAAATTTCGTCAAAATTAGTTTAGTGGACATAAAGGCAGACATCTTTTTTAAACTAGATAATTTATGCTTTTCTAGTACTGATATCCGACCACTTCCAATCCGATCATCCTTCCTCATTACTTTATTTTTATATATACTCTTCATATTCTCTACTTCTATCTCTGCAATATTAAAATTTAAAAGTTAATTTTTATAACAGAGCAACATATCCTTTTAAAACACAGCTGCCATACCCCAAACAAGTCTCATTTAATTCATTTCCATTCATGATTTCCCTAATGTTTTTAATTAAATTCAATGTTATTTTTAACAATGTTTGATGTAATCATAAACAACAAGCCTATGGATTATTTTTACACCAAAAATGCTCACTTACACCTTCTTTTTACAATTTTGGAATGATGATTGCACAAAATGTCTAAAGAAAACTGATAAGTCATACAATTGCTCAATTTAAATGAAAGCTCTATAAATTCATTTTTTTACAAGATTAATATAATTAATCATCATTGAAAAAGGGCTCAACATTTGTTTTATTTTGATTTATGTTGTTCTACATGATTTTGGATGGCATTACATATTGTAAGATCAAGAAACTTGTAACTGGAATTTCAATATCCTAATATTATTGAAAAAATTTATATTTTCATCAATATCATCACATACAATATTTTGAAACTTATTGTTTTATTTAAAATTATTATTCTTCACTGAAGTACTAATTTCCACGTGTAAAATAATGAACATTATACAAACAAAGTAACATTTCAGTGGGTTTTGCAATGGGAGAGTCTTGTGGATCTTATAAGAAAAAAAAATACCTGCCTTTTACCGTTGAACAGGCTAGATATCTCCCAAAATGAGGAGACTAACATCTTTCCAAACAGCTCTTCCACATTCGAAGATTTTTTTGGGTCTGAGTTCTTTTTTGCTATGTAAAAATACTACTCACTTTAGCGAATACTTTAACGGAATAGGATTGGTAAGATAGTGTAGCAATAGAGTGGAGTACGCTCTTGAAGTTCAGTAGAAGGAAGGCGCAAAGTGAGATTGATTTTCCCGCTGAACAGTAAACGATATTTGCATAAATCAGGACTTATGAAGATGCATGAACCATCTTCTATTGAACCACTGAGAACGATGATGCAACTGAGCATGTTTTTGCCACTGCGGCGTACAGCGTATTGTGATCATTGATACTTGGGCAATTTTATAACTCGTTGGAATATCAATGCATTGCAAGTGACCATTTCTGTAAAGGATCTTGATCTTAACAAATCATACCGTTTTCTTAAGTGTGTGGGGGTGTAACTTATTTAAGGTGTAAGTTAGGATTAAAAGAGGTTCAAAATCTTTTCTTTTCCTTGAACTTAATGTTATTCTTGAAAATATCAGTAAATGTCAAAGAGCTTCTTATTCTTATTTGTTTTTTCTTGTATTATTTAATATTTAATTTTATAATTAATTCTTTACTTTTTTTTTGAAGGGTTTGTATACACTTTTACATAAACGCAGTAAATACCTTTCATTATCATCTCATATTATCTTAAAAGCAAAGGTTATTTCTTAAACCAACTCAACCCATTTATAACATAATAACTTTGAAAACGTGAATGAGAATCACAAATCAATTGTATATACCAAAAAATAAAATAATAAATCAAAATAATGCATTAATGCCCAATTGTTCTACTACTTTACATTATACACACATACAATATACATACATGGATATGTGAGATCAGTATTATGACATTTACAATTAAATATAAAATGTCAAGCTGTTAATGGATCGTCCATGAATTTAATCTTAATTATTTTTTGTATAAAATGCCCATTTTATTTTTTCCTTAATTAATGATCGCTTTTATCTTGTATAAAATTTTAAGACAGATTTTTCTTGAAAATCATTATTTTTAAGTGTACGAAATTTAATTATAAACAATTTTTATAATCGATTAAATAACACTCATGCAATAAGAGCATTTCCATTTGCTGTATTAATAAAGGCAGTGTGAACACTCGTTATTTCATTACTCGTTA